CAGCACGCCAAGGTGGTGCCGTGGATGCGGAAGACGGAGTACATCTCCACCGAGTTCAACCGCTACGGGGTCTCCAACGAGAAGCCAGAAGTCAAGTGAGTGCTGTCGTTAGGCCCCAGGGTCAGCGTTGGTGCTTTGCACATGCTTGTATGCGCGTGCGATAGCACAGGGTCCTCCAGGCTTGGGGGGCGCGCAGCCGCTTCCCCAGCGTCCTTTGTCCTCCTTTGACACCCCCCTCCCTTCTTGTCCTCCCCCCCCCCCAGGATCGGGGTGTCCGTGAAGCAGCAGTTCACGGAGGAGGAGATCTACAAAGACCGTGACAGCCAGATCGCCGCCATCGAGAAGACCTTTGAGGATGCTCAGAAGCAGGTGAGCTGGACCCTAAACAGGGCCCTTGAAAGCCCCCCCCCCAACACACACGCACATGCACACACACACATGCACACGGCACTGTACCTTTAAGCCTTAAAGTGACTGTCAAACGAGTGGGAGAGGGGTACCTGGAAATGGGAGTGTCAGGGGGAGTCCTGGACAGCTCTTAAACCCGCTGACACGAGCTGGGGACGACGATGAAGGGAATCGTGGACACGGCAGAGAGGGTCGCAATGCCCCTTGCTCAACCCTTGGGGTGTCCGCGGCCCCGGCACGGCACCCAGCTCTGCTCCCCGGGGATGGGGAAGGTGCAGAGAAGGGCAGCGAGGGGGATCGGGCTATGGGGGAGACTAACGAGGCCAGGCCTGGGGGGATTAGGAGAGAGGTGCTGGAGAGGGGACAGTGCAAGGGTTTATAACATACAAAGTGGTGAAGAGATGGTCCCGGGGCATTGATTCCTGGCCGTGTCTCGCCAGACAAGGATGAGGGGTCCCGGCCCGAGATGAGCAGGCCGGCAGTGTAACTCTGACACTGAGATGGTTGTTTCCCCCCGCGTGGGGTGAAAGGGGGGAGCTCGCAGGCACTGGGTGCAGGGGGAGCAGCGAGTTCAGCCAGATCCCCCCGGGGGCTGGGCCCGTGCTGGGGGAAAGGGACATCGGGGGCTGTCGGGCACAGGAGTGCAGGGCACAGCTTTGGGATCGCCACATCCCGGACCCTCGATGGCTGCGACGGGGAGAGGAACAGGGGGAAACCCTGCCCGGACCCCGTCATTCTCTGTGGATCAACCCCTGCGCCCAGGTCATCTTCGACTCGGACCCAGCCCCGAAGGACACCAGCGGCGCTGCCGCCTTGGAGATGATGTCCCAGGCCATGATCAGGTGCTGCAGGGGGGTAGAAGGGGGGGCAGTAGGCAGTGTTTTCCTCCCACCCCACCCCCAGCTTATTAAGCCCCCGCTGCCCATGACAGGGGCATGATGGACGAGGAAGGGAACCAGTTTGTCGCCTACTTCCTGCCGGTGGAAGAGACTCTGCGGAAGCGCAAGAGGGACCAGGACGAGGAGATGGACTACGCGCCCGAGGACATGTACGTGGGGGGTCCCTGGCTCTGTGCGGAGGGGAGGGGGGGGCACTGGGATCTGGGGCAAGGGCTGTCAGGGGAAGGGGTGCCCAGCTCTGCTGGGGGGCACTGCGGCCTATACGCCTGGGTCTTGAACCAGGGGCCGGGCTAGCCTCAGTGCCCCACCCCCAAGGCTCAGCAGCCCCCAGAAGACCCCACCAAAAAACAGCAGAGGAAGCTGTGTTGGACCGGAGCCTGTGGGGGAAGTAGAGAGCCCAGGGGCTGGGGGGGTAGGGAGATCCCTGAGAGGTGCTGGGGTCTGGGGTAGGGGGGGTATCCTGGCATATGGCTGGGTGGGGGCAGGATATGGGGGTGAAGTGGGC